ATTTTGTAAAGAACATAAAAAAAAATAATAGTAATTATTTTAAACAGAATATGAACTAAAAAAATCAGAACCGTATTGTTTTTAAAACTCAATTATTTACTATATCTTTCTTTGTTGTTTTTAACTATAAAAACGTTATATTTCACAGTTGGTTTTCAAAATGTTGGWAACAAAATAWAAATAAATAAAATGTGTTTATTTATTAGTTCACAATATACGATAAATAAATAAATTGATCAATTGATAAATAAATATAGCCCAAAATTACCAGTTCACACAATAAAAAAATTATTATAAATTAATACTTCTACAATAATTATTAGGCACAAAAATGAAATGAAAAATTTAATAATGACCATAATTTATTATTCTTGAATGTCTGTGTATATTGTCTAATTTAACAAAAATAGAAACGGAGATAGGTAACAAATTAATAATTTCCGTTCCATGCTATAGTTTTACAAATTACCGACTTTGTAAACTGATGGACATACTCGTATTATAGTTGACAATCGAGATACATTTTAAAATTAATTATAATTTCATATTTTCATACAAAGTTATATTATATAAYATTTATTATAATGTCTATATAAATATAAAAACAGAATAATAAAAATTGTTAATTATAAAATAAATAAGATAGTTTAGTTACTAATTTCTATGTCCAATTGCTACTATTTTTAGATTCTGGCCGGAGCATTAATTTTACAATATGATTTTTTTTGTATGTGTACAGGATTGGTGATTGAAAAAAAAATGCTTTGATATTCAACCACAGAATAGATACAATAGATTCAACTTCAATATCTTTTATGTCAGGAATGAGAATGTAGTTGGCACTTTTAGGAGATAAATATTAATTTTAATGATATACKTTCAAAAGTCCTCATAAGAAAACTATAAGAAGAATAAGTTGATGCAAYCTTGGATAAATGATACTTTTTAGTTTGTTCACACCATTATAGATATGAACATCAACTTTTTAGGTATCAGTGTAGCACTATAGAAGYAATATACTAATATAAGGCAAAACAGTAAACACCATATTATGAACAATGTAYATGGAAAATATTTTTAGGCATTGGACGTATAGTTTCGGTGAAAATTCAATAAATTCTAGAGGCCAAATTTAAAAATTCCATAATTAGGTCCCAACATTAAAATAAATGTAGTTTATAGGTAGACAAAAAAATGAGCTGAGTTAATTATAAAAGATAAAATATTMATAATTAAAAAAATAATAACCAACATTTATACTTAAAATCAATGAAATATGAATTGGTACAACTAACGATGTGACAAATATTTTAACATATTTATTATTGTCCAAAGAAAATGCATACAAAAATAAATACAACTTAACAAACAATTTTATAATAAATGTAGGTACACCAAATATACTTGTACTATACTTATAATTCTTAATTTAAAAAATCTTTTATGTTTGACCTACACCTACCCAATACAATTTATGTTGATTAGGTTAAGTTTATTGTAAGTTTTATTGTGGTTGATAATGTAATTCAAAACTTGATGAGWAAGTTTTTAAAAATATGGTTACGTGAATTAACATTTGCATTTTATACAGTTGCTAGAATAAATAAGAATACTAAAATGTATACTCCGTTTAAAATATTTAAAAATAACCTAGTATAGATTTTAACTCTGTTTAAAATAACATAAATATATTTTTTGATATTCGATTTGAAATGGATCGTGGTATTA